TTGTTTTGCTGACGGGTTTCCGCGTTTTATTTCATAAGAAATTATACATATTAAAAGTGCAAAAATCCGTCCCCGAAAATAATTCTCAAAAATCAACGCAATTTTTTAGCCGTTTGAAACTTTCACTTCATTGGCCTAAAATTGTGTGGGCTATAAAACTGCTTACCCACAAATTTTCTAATTTTTCAGAATAAAAAGTTGAAATGTTGATGAAAATTTGTTGAATTTTCATAAATTTTGTATAAAGTTTGAAACTGTGATTTACACGGTTTTGGTTAAAGCTTAGACGAACTTTTATATGTATAAAAATAACAAAAAAGAATTAGCTCGAAAAACATTACGAATATTTGAAGAAAATCAACACGTGATCATTTGTTTGAGTCATTGTATGGACATACATAACATATGTACATACATACTTATGAACAAATAGCCCACTGCAATAAACAAACGCAACAACTTCAGGTTAAGTATTTAGTAACCAAAACATGGTATGTCGCATGTACATATGTATGTATGTAAGTATGTTGTATGCAAGTGTGTACAAGCGCAAGTACATTGATTGGTGCATGACAATGTTCTTATATTCACATGAAAACGTTAGAGAAATTTGATGAAAACTGTCGTGGATATGCATACGAAATGAAATGGATTTACCATTTTGCCTTGTGCGAGCGTCGTCGCATTGGGGAGTGAGGGGCGCTCCTCAGCAGCGTTGAATGGCAGTTTTTGGATTCGTATCGAATTTGGTTAGACTGACTATAGCAACCGCATATAACCCCAATAAACAAACTAATAAAACATGTCAAGAAAGTGAGTACAACGTAAAATACTTGCAAACGCAATGAAATTGCCGCGAGTCAAATAACAAACGAACTGCAGGAACACAGCTGAACAGTAAAGAGCCAAGAGCTAGTGAGCTCAAACGGCAGCTCAAATATCGGATATTTTCGAAAGTACCTACATACATACATACATATATTTTAAGTTTATAGACAAAGTCAAAATACCAACGGAGATTGTGGATATCAAATTGAAAATTGACTCCGATTGTCAGCTGTGTGCTGCATGAAGAGGGAGCGCAGGCACAGCGGCGTATGGTCACAAGGTAGGGACAAACGAGAAATACCAATCGAATACTTTGTAAAAAAATTTTATTGCAGAAAGTTTGTCAGAACGCTGCAAAGTTATTACTGTCTGTAAGCAAAGTAGTTGCCAAAGTTGCGCAATAACAAGTTCAGCGCGAGTGACATAAAGTTAGCCACCACACCCAGCGTCGCGTCAACAAGCAAATCAACTACACAGCTCCAAATGCAAGTTAAATATTAGCAAAGTCCCAGCTATGCGCACGTTATCTGAATCATCATGAAGAATTGGCTGAGCTGCGTCGGCAGAAATATTGCGGCGATCGTTGCAAATAGGGTGGCGCAAAGGCGAAGCGGAAAGCAACGCATCACACAAAGGTGCATAGGACGACGGAAACGCATAACAGCATGTCCATATCGAAATTGCGTAGCCGGCCAGCAGTTCTGACGCGGCAGGAGCATGTGAAAAGTCCCACTGGTGGTGGAACGGAGGTAGTTGGTGGGGGTGTGGGTGGCGGTAGTGGTGGCGGTGGTGGTGGTGCCACCGTTGTCGATGTACATAAAACTGCCAAATCAACAACGCCCGCTCTGACCACAAAACTACTGAATGCTGCAGCGACGAATGCGGCTGTTGTTGCCGCCGCTACTGCGGCCACAGTAGCTTCGAAGCAACAGCAACAACAACAGCAACAGCAAACAAATCAACTTCCACAAGCCGCACAAACCTATTTACCTCAAACATCACTGCTGAAAATTGAACCATTTGTTCCTAGTCTCACCACACGACTGCGTCGTCCTTTTGGGCGCTCCTATACTACACTGTGCAATACAACAACGACTACGGCAGCTGGTAGTAGCAACAACAACCACAACAACAACAACAAACGTAAAATAGCAGCCAACCCAAATACTGCAGCTGCCGCACTCAATTCCCCACTGCTGGGCGCTGCGATTGATAGTCAACTTGCCAAAGCGAATGCTGCTAGTACGCGTGCAGCAGTCGCCGCACGCCTGCGACGTAATCCAGTGCGTACAACGGTCAAACGCCAACGTTCGAAATCCACATCCTCCTCTGCTTCTGCCACGCATCGGCGACCAGCAACAGCGTATCGCAATTTGTCACCGAATATGTTGTTGAACGGCGAACACACGACGGCACCGACGTGTGCGGAGGGGAGTGGCAATAGCAGCGCTAGCGGAAATGGTAACGGAAACAGTAATAGTAACGGCACGGCGGCTATTGTCACATTGCAGCCAAATGGTATTTGTCGCATAACACGCACCGTAGCAGACCGCGAAAAGCAACCGGATCGCATTAATTATGATCGACGCGGCCTGAGCGCAATACCGATATTCGAATACGAAACACAGCTGCGGCTGTTGTCGCTGCAACATAATCTCATCAATATATTTCACATACCAAAAGAAGAGCCACCACCACTACCGCCACCGCCACCAACACCCACACCAGCACTAACGACAATATTACCTGCATCGTCGCCCGCAGAGACACAGCCGGAAGCTTGCCACATACCGGACGTGCAATCGGAATTCGGTAGAAGTGAACAAAATTCGTCCACGCTAACTAACGGTGTCAGTTCACCGAAGCCACTTAGACGTCAAAATGAGCGCACCGTTGTTATCGGAAGGCCAACCGGATCGGGTAGTAACGCCGGTGTGCGGCTATCACTTGCTTTAGGTACAACGAATGCGCGTCAACTGAATGGTCATGCGTTAACGCCACCGCCCCCACCACCCACGCCACTGGGACAGATACAATCACTGCCACATCCGCCACCACCACAATTGTACCAGCAATTGCTTCAGCAGCGTCTAAACGGCATTGCGGGAAACAATTTAGTTAAAAACTTGCATTACAATGCTCCATTGCTGCCGCTGGCACGGCAACCGACGCCATGTCGTTTTGCGCTCAAACGCTCCAAAAGTTTTATGACCAATATGCCACGTCAACTGCATAGCATACAGCAAAATTTGTTGAAGACACAATTGGCGCGCGTTAAACTCGGGGCGGTCGGTGGCGATGCGCGTTTAAAGAGTTTCGATTCGAACGCCAGCGCGCTTACCAACGCCACAGACTCGTCATCCTCTACTTTGGCTACCTCAACGACGACGACAACAACAACAACAACAGGTGGCACCAATAAAAC